CAACCTAGTTTTTAGTTTTCTTGTTTTGCCTATAAGTAATGCAGAAGTAGAGCGAATATTTAGTTCAATGAATATAATAAAAACTAAGCAAAGAAATCCAATGTGCGTTAAAACGTTAAACGCTATTTTATATATAAGATACGGTTTAAAACGTGAAGAAAAATGCTGCCATAATTTTACTGTAGATGACGATCTCTTAAGATTAATGAATTCAGGTGATATATACAATAGTGATACATTTGATGATGAGGAATATACACTCGATAAAAATTAATGGTGTTAACTAGTCTTTCGTTTCTCGCGATTTATTTAAATAAAGCATGTGAATTTTCACTAAAACATTTTAGCCGTTTTTAGCCGCTTTTTTTGCCAATCTAGCCGGTCGGCCCAAAAAGTTCTGGCAACACTGATCACCATGTATGTAGGTACAAATTCGCTTTGGTTACAACTCAGAATTTTGAGACTTTTCTGAACCCGAAATGAGTGCGAATGTTTAGGTACTGGGTATTCATATACGAGTCATACGAGTTTATGTAAATACTAAATTGATGCAACATCATCACCGCCGGGCTTTTGCGTATATATGTATGTGTGTATGTATGTATATATGTACTTCATACAATTTCTGTGGGTGGAAAGCAGGAGGTTAGGTCATAGTGACAAGTATTCACATGTGGATACGTTTTTGCATTGAGTCTACATTAGGCCCAGCCGATTTTCAGTACATATATGCTTTATGAGTAGGTGCTGTCGTTCAACTAGTGTGAATCACCAATAATTATTCTTATCAGGTACTCACATAATATTTACGCATGAATACATATGTATGTATATTAGTTATTATTATTTATATACTTATTTAGTTCAACTTACCGTGATGACTACATCTTTAATTGCATTCCGATTACGTATCACTATGCCTCCTAGGGGTTTTTTGATATAAATTTTCGGCATTTTGTTGCTTGTCCTAAAGACTTCCCAATGCTCGAAAAAGAAAACAATTTACTGAGTACTTTCTGTTCTTTTGCAGTGCACTACGGAGCAAGCAAACATACAGGTGTTTTTGTTTAAAATATATTTTCCTTTTGTGTTATGGAAAAGACAGCAAGCAGGCAGCTGCTGCGCCAAGGTTGGCGCTTTCCGCCGTTTTTGTTTGTGATGCGCTTTTGATAGCGCTTATGTGTATTTATGTAGCAGCAGATCTATTGTTTTAGTTCGAGCACTATCATACTTTTTGCATAAATTACACTTTAACGCAAATTGTTTTCACACTGGTCACGGCGAGCGACAAATCCACATTCCGAGAAGCGAAAGCAAGAACTCAAAATGAAAATATAGGCAATTATTTCGCTATCAGCGGTCCCAATAATTCAGAAATCAAGTTAATTGCCAGCCGACCGAAAACGCGACACAATTCCTTTCCGAACGCAATATAAAACACATCGTCGTGTTTTTAGAGCTAGAACATTGGTTGATTTTTTTCAGCAACCCAATAGCGATGAAATCACAGTTGATATACTAAATTTCCTGCACTCTCAAAAGCACTATACACAAAATCCTATTGCTTTTTAGCGATATTAACAATTTAAAAGCACTATATTTAGTTTTACTTCCTTGTATATTTATTTAAAAGCAAATTGTCGAGACGTACTAAAAGAAAAACACACTCAGAACATAGAACGTGCTGCCATATCTTACAACCCAATTTGACATTTGCCTGGAATGCACTACCGGAAGTACAGGGTGATGAGTGATAAACAGGGTGATGGCCGTATATTTTAGTTTTCTTTACATTCGCAGGGTGCTTTTAAAGACTATTTGGTCCGTCATCCCAAAAATTTTTTTTCTCATTTTCGGTCGTTTTTTTTTTGTAGTTATTCGAAAAATTTGTTTGATAATGCATTTCCTAACGTTAAAAAATACGAAATGTAACCAAGCATTACTTCCACCCAAAATTAAAGAATTCGTTTCGAATAGAAGAAAAATTTTTGGTGGTCTTCACAACGAAATTGGTATAAAATAATAAACCGAGTCAAAAGTGAAAACCCCTTTGAATTGATAAAAAAAAGTTCTAAATTTTCGGGCATATATCGACTGTTGAGTGGAAGATCGACCTATCTCGGCAGCCAGTTCGAAAACGCCCTATCTCAAAAAAAATTTTCAAGGACGCCCTATTTCAGAATTCGTTTCAAAAACGCCCTATCTCAGCTGCCGATTCAAAAACGCCCTAATATCAGCACATTTTCAATACATTTTGTAGTAAGATAGGGTGTTTTTGAACCGAGTTCTGGGATAGGGTGTTTTTCAATAAAATTCTGAAATAGGGCGTTCTTGAAAAGTTTTTTTGTGATAGGGCGTTTTCGAACTGGCTGCCGAGATAGGCCGATCTTCCACTCAGCAGTCGATATTCTACCACCATCCCGAATACTGATAAATCCGGCGACTCGGTTGATCCCACCGCTCGATAAAGCTTTCAAAATTTTCTTTTCACAAATGCATCTCTTTTACTTGAAAACTATAATTGCGCAAACGTTGATGCGCGTATTAGGCATTTCCAGCAATTATATTTTAGAATTACGAGACTGATGCTTTAGCTTGAGCAATTTCTGAACAGGGAGATATCTAAATACTTGCATAATACTTGTTTCATTATTAGCATTTATGAACTTTCATATAAATTTAAAAACTACTTAAGTTATCAGATTTAAAAGTACTGCCGCTGCTACTCATCATCCCCATCATCACTATCATCGCCATTATCGCTTGGATTTTCTTCATCATCGTCATCATCGTCTCCACCTTCTCCCGCTGATTCCTCATCATCATCATCATCTTCACCTTCCTCATCATCGTCATCATCATCATCATCATCGCTATCATCCTCTTCTCCACTATTATCTTCTTGAGCATCGTCATCTCCACTCTCTTGCTCATCCTCACCTTCTTGTTCCGCTTCGCTGTCTTCTTCATCGTCATGCTCTTCTACAGAGGGTTTTTCATCCTTAGCCTTCTCTTTGTCAGCTTTATTAGCAGTTACACTATTTTCAGTTTTAGCCTTCTTTGCTGGTACGACGCTCTGTTTTCCTTTAGTCTTATCATCATTTTCTTCAGCTTCCAAATCTTCTCGCATTTCTTTCAATTTCTGCTTACGTTTCACCTCATTCTTGGAGAGTTTCAACAATTTACCTTCTTTTGTCATGTTGAAATGCGATAGAACTTCGTTTGCTTCTCGTTTCATTTTTAGCAAGCGTTCCTCACGTGGTCCAACAACGTACGGTGTATCGGCTGGAGCTTCAGCAACGCTAAGATAAATTGGCAATGACGTTGTACCAGCAATGCTGATTCTTAGGTAAAGTCCGCGTATATTGGGTAAGCCGCCGGGATAAGTATTTTTCAATTGTTCCAGGACGAATGTAATATTTTCAGCCAACTGATCTTCAGTAAATTTGTGATTACCAACAGGTATCGATATGAGATCACCTTTCTGCAACTGTTTGTATGCAGTACGACGTAGCGACTTTTCAATTTCTCGCTTTAAATTTTTCTGGTTATCCATACGTACGGAATGAAAAGTGGTGCGCGGTTTTTGGAAAATCTATTTGAGTATGATACCTATTAGAGTTTAATAAATCGAAGTTATACAAGTCTACTTTACCTTGCCACAAAAACCCGATGCATGTCCTACCAATCGGCCGTCACAAAGGAAATAATCGTAGGTGTTTCCAAATTTTCGTACAGTTTCAAAAGTGTTACATTCATTCCTCAGTTTGTTGAATGGTACAATCGTCAGTCCTTCAATGCCGGCCTCACGGAAAATATCCTCATAATGTTGTATGGTGGGCTCATAGTCGACTTTAGCACCACGTTGTACATCAGATACTATTATGGCAACATCATCGTCCTTATCCACCAAAGAATGTTTCAGGTTTCTTTACGGAAGAAAAATAAAATAAAGAAAAATAAAATAAATAAAAATAATTCTTCCTTGTCTAATACTTACAGCTTCACCATGCGTTTAGGGACATTAGGAATCTTAAAGGCAGCCACGTTCAAGAAGTATTGAAAATCACTAAATATAGCGGTTTTCTTTTCAGCCACTTCTTTCTTGACCTGCTCTTTCAAACCCTTCGCTATTTTCTTTATGTTATCCGCGTTAACAATGGCATTGAATTTGCTTTCATCGAATGGCGGCGCCTTAAATAGCCGTTTTGGGTGCGATTTTTGTGTTTTATTTAATTTGTTTTCGCGCCTCTTTTTTAGTTGCTCCTTTCTGAATGCCCGTTTAGCGGATTTTTTCTTCTCTAAACTTGTCAACGGAGTTGTTTGCTCTTTAACAGGTTTGGCTATTTTGTTAGCATTTTTCTTCTGTCCCTTAGCCTTCTTCTTTTGGGGTTTTTCTTGTGGGAAAGCCGCTGCAGACTTGGTGGCCGCTGGCGATTCAGGTGGCGCTAGAACTAGGGGGCGTTTCTTAGCCTTCTCTTTTTTCTTTGAATCTTTTAAGGGCTTCACACTTGTGTGTTCAGTTGAAGCTTTCTTTTTGTCTTTATTGAATTTTTCTTTCTTTTGCTTCTTTATAGGGGCTACAACTCCGAGATCGTCGACTACAGTCTTCAGTAGTTTTTCCTTTTTGGCCTTCGGCAAGTTCTTAACTGAATGCTTTGGCTTATCTTTTTTGCTTATTTTTGATATACCCGCAAGCGGTGGAGCTATAACCTTCTTTTTCTTCTTCTCAACTAAATCGACTGGTTTAGTTAGTGATTTTTGTAATTTAACCATTTTTAATAATTCTTCACAATTGAAAGCGGTAAAAATTAATGCTCCGAAATAACACGTGCACCTCAGGTAATTTATAGAGAGTTGTCAAACAAATGAAAAGCTGCGAAACCCAGATATGTCAAACATTTGTTGCAAAATGACATTTACTAAGAGATGCCAGATGAGACAAAAATTATGAAAATCTGAGCTTGGATGATGTAGCTTTAACCCATTCTTGGCTTTAACCCAATTTACATTAGGAAGGCTTCTTTCTGAACGAGTTAGTTTTCTTTAAACGTTATTATAATATACGTATTAATTTTTTTTTGCTTTTGTGCAATAGTGTTGCAATATAGTCAAGATTGGTAAAACAAATTTTTATGCGTTAGAGAAATTAGGCTGCATTTCACCAGATTCATTCAAGTGAATATTATTTCAATTTTTGAATTTTTGGTTTCATAAATCAATTTTAATTTGTGTGATAATCGGCAATACCAAAAGATAATCGATAGTGTCTAAAAAAATGGCAGTCGTTAGTATCGATAGTGCTATCGAGTACATTGCAGTTCTATTGATACAGCTGTTTATTATTTTGCGGGGAAGCAAATGTAAATTGTTGACTCAGTTGTTTTGAGCAAATGCAGATTTTTAAAGCTGTTGAATGACAGTAAAGTACTTAGTAAGTATTAAACCTTGTCTCAAATTGAGATTATATTATTCAACTTTAATCGTTTGTCCGATTTAAAACAAAGCAAGCGCACGAATGGTACGTATTCTCTTTCTTCATCCTGATCTGGGGATTGGTGGCGCAGAGCGGCTAGTTGTGGACGCAGCGCTCGCGTTGAAAGCACGAGGACATGAAGTCAGTTTCTTGACTAATCATCATGACCCAAAGCACTGTTTTAAGGAAACTTCTGATGGCACTTTGCAGGTGCAAGTCGTTGGCGATTGGTTGCCACGTAAGATTTTTGGCCGATTCTATGCACTATGTGCCTACTTACGCATGATGTATGCTGCCCTATACGCTTCTTTCGTGCTGTCGCATCGTGAAAATATTGATGTTTTCTTCTGTGATCAAATCTCTGTTGGCGTGCCCATATTGAAACTTGCTAAGAGACGACCAAAAATAATTTTCTACTGCCACTTTCCTGACCAGTTATTGAGCATTCGAGAAGGCTACCTTAAAAGTGTTTACCGGGCGCCATTAAATTATCTTGAAGAATTTACCGTCGGCATGGCGGATGTGACGTTGGTTAATTCCAAATTCACCTTACGAGTTTTCGGAGACACATTCCAACGTTTAGATGTGGTACCCGACGTATTATATCCATCTCTAAATACTCAATACTTCGATGCAATGCAAAAGAAGATAGCAGCTATGCCAAGCATGGAATTCGGAGTGAAAGCATGTGAAGAAATACCGCGGAATGCATTCATCTTTCTGGATATTAATCGATATGAACGAAAGAAGAATCATGCTTTAGCTTTGCATTCCTTTCGTTTGTTCATTGACGCATTGCCAGCTTCGGATTCGAAGCGTTGTCGCTTGATCATCGCTGGTGGATACGATGATCGTGTAGTAGAAAATGTGGAGCACTACAATGAGCTTCGTCAGATAGTCAGCAAGTTGGAACTCCAAGAAAATGTGATATTGCTGCGCTCTCCTAACGACGATGAGAAATTTATGTTGCTTCATAAAGCACACTGTCTGCTTTACACTCCCGATAACGAGCACTTCGGTATTGTGCCACTGGAAGGCATGTATATGTCGAAACCAATAATTGCATTAAATAGTGGCGGACCAACGGAAACGATTGTGAATAATTCTACAGGATTTTTATGCGAGCAACAACCATCAAAGTTTGCAGATGCAATGCTGCAGTTATATAAGGATGATGCCTTGCGTGAACGAATGGGCGTGATGGGGCACAAGAGAGTGCAACAGAAATTCTCATTTGAAGCATTTACCGACAAACTCAATAATATTGTGGAAACCGTCATGAAACCGGTCTGCACAAAGGAGAGTAGTAAGAAAAAAGATGCATAAATACGAGGCGAAAAATTAACATGGCCGTATTAATAGGTCGTTAAATAGACACGCCGTAACCGCTTAGGCTTTATGACTAGTGCACATTGAAATATAGAACAAAAAAAAAAACAATTAAGATTTGCTAAATTTACTCGATTTATGTTTTTTTTTCGTCACTGCGTACATTTATTAATTCAACTGCGATGATAAGCTATATTTCTTGATGTATTAAAATTGTTCAGTTCTTTGCATTTAATACTAAGTGTCATAATTTAAGAATTCAATATTTAAATAAAGGCAAGTTCTTTTAAAATGCGCATTTTTTACTAACCACCTCTAATTTGTCATATTACTCATATCGCTTATATAAATATAAATAGCCGAGATCTTTTGGTGGATTTTGCGAAAGTGCTACTTTGCTATCGTTGAAGATCACCCATCGTCCATCTTTTTGTATGTGGCACACATAATGACCAACTTGGGCTGATGTTCCCATGTGAGAGACGAAAGCTACAAGCTTATATTTTCCTACACCATCACGGTATGTTTTTTTCTGCGTAGTACCTGTATCTGTGCTGACATTAGTTGGGGTGTTTTCATCTGTGTCCATATCGTCGGCATGTGAGAAAATCCAATCTGTTGCACGTTCAATATTGCCATCGGTTGCTTTCAATGCCTTAGTCGCTTGACGCTCTTCAAAGCCCATACTCATTAACATAGCTACACTTTCGGGATTCGCTGTGAATTCTGCTGCTTTTCTACCGCCCATTCCATCTGCAGGCAAAACAAACGGTTCTGAGATGTCTGCATCGCCAATATGCTCCATGAGCCAATTGGAAGCTGCTTCTAAACTAATATTTTTAGTGTGAAATACCGCACGCTTGCAAGCTTCGCGTGGAAATCCCATTTGCATAAGTTCGCCCATTAGATTTTCATCAAACGAAAACTTGGGCTTTTCTTCCGTTTCTGGTAGTGGCTGCTCATTTGGTTGCATACCAGAGGCGCGCCAGTTGCTGAGATCTAATTCATCTGGCATATCAACCGACACATCTAACTTTTTTGGGACCCAATCGGCGCCGAGTGTGAACTTGCGCAAATGCAACATTAAGAAATCAGGCATATTCCCAAGTCGGGTATTCTTTCTGGCAGTGGTTATGCAGTTTGCAGCCGACGAGTAGAATTGATCAAGTACTTCAGGTGCGAAAAAGCGTTCTAAGCAAGCTTGTAGAGGCACTTTGTGGCGCACTACATTTTTGTCGCTGCTATTGTTTTTGCCTTGAGCGGCTTTACGCTCCAAATACTCTTTGACCTCATCTAAGTTTGTAGCTTTATCTAAGGGTATTTCCAATGGCAAACAAAAGTCATCACGATGTGTGTACTTTACCTTTTTGCTGCTCATGCACTCCACACGGTCTTCCAAATTGATCGTGAGACTTTCTACAGGATTCGGTTCATTGCGCGAATTTCGCTCGATAATGTTGATAAGATGTAGATAAAAATCATAAGCATCTTGTTGCTGTTTCGTACTAAAGTCGGGATGATTTTTGCCAATGACATTTTTGAACATAGCTGGCGAAATGCCTGTAAACTCAGAATCAAGTGAATTCTCCGAAATGCTGCTGTATTTGCCTGACCACAGGCCATTACCCAGCTTAGCCATTTGTATGTTAAAATCATTTGCCGGATCTGAGGGAAATGCGTTAAAGTATTTTTCGGCACCGTCTCCTACGTATCGCTTGATGAAGTCGGGCAGTGTAAATATAACCTGAAAACAGTTTTTAATGTAAGTGATTTGGTAATAGTTTGTCATCGCACTTACCTGCATTACACTGTTAATGTAACACGAGTTGCCGAGGTTTCTCATACCCGTATAGCCTGGACCAGCCAATGGCTGTAACTCGCTATCGCTTTCGGTCAACAATGACCATTCACCAATGCGCTGATTAATTTCTATTTCCAATTCAACCATAGTCTTTTCACTCTTTTTCATCGCTGCCATATTAATACCAAAATGAGCAAGATGCTTCTCCAGATGTGTGTCAATAACCATGTCATCTTCTGGATATGAGAAAACGTCAGATTTTCCATCAGCAGTTATAGTACCCAGTTTGACAGCTAATGGATAACCCATTTCCCGATAATATTCTACAGCATGATCATTTCCACCCGAACCATCGAAAAATTTTCGCCCACAAAGAATAGAGCCATCGGTTAAGTTGAGCCATAAATTATTTGTTAGTTCACATTTTTCGCATTTCCAGCCGGACGGTGGTATTTTCTTGCCATTATCTAGCTGGATTAAATTATCTGAATACTTGGACACTTGACGTACTTCACCATCCCAAGTACCTACAGACATGAAACATTCATTAGATAGAAAAATTCAAAATATTACACTTGTAAACTTACCAGCTAGCGTTTGTTTTTCTAATTTTGCTATAGCTGATTCTTGTGCTAGAACTGCTTCAACTGATTGTGTTACCAGCAGCGGCAATTGTTCATCAGGGAATACCAATTTCTTATCAATATCCGGCATTACAACAATACTATACGAATCTTTAATGTCGTATTTCTTTTCGTTTGCATCATTGTAACCTCCCTCAACGCCTATAGCTAATCGGGTTATTTTGCGTTCCGGCCCTCCTTCATCAGCGCAAGCACCATCAACATTTTCTTTGGGTGTCTTAATGCGATGTATATGCAAGAATACTGCATTTCCAGTCTTTTCAGCATATCGTTTCACATATGCTTCGCCAAAGCCCAAAAAGCTGCTTAAGCTCACGTAAAGTCCTGTAGGAGTTTCTGGTGTATCATAGGAGTAGACGCACTCATCTTTATAAATGGGTACATTATCGCATGGTACACGAATTTTCGCCAATTGTTTCTGCAACTGTTCCATCACTTTGTAAATAGCTGGTAACGTTTTAATCAATTACACAACAAATATATTGCGTTTAATGTAAAATATTTACTGCGTATTTTACCCTAAATTATTATATTTAAATGTAATATCTATACAACACAAGTTTTCTCGCAATTATTCAGCAATTTAACAAATTATGCGTCAATGCAAATGTTATTTTAGGAATATGACATTTGAAACGGTTTGGGATGCAATCGGAACATGACAGAATGGCAATCACTATAATTTGAAACAAATTCGATTAATCGATCTTGAAATAAATAAAAATTAAAAACCCCGCCAAATAGAAAATCTTTTCGGCGTCACAGGGATTCCTTTGACTAACAAAACGCACATGCATTATTGTTTTGCCGCTTTTCATATGACTGCATGTCTCATGACAGGAGATACTTCGTTTGTTCCTCATTCACCAACAGGCCCACGCGCCTTGATTCTCTATCTAATTCCGAGAAGACCCAACAGACATAGCCCTTGAACTGGTTGGCGAAAATCCTTCTAGATATATCCTCCAAGCGGGTGCCGGCTGGGCAATGGGCATCGCTGTTTACACCGCTGTGGCAAGGTAGGCTTGCTCCTATGCGGCAGTGGTGCAAGCAGGCGGGGCCTAGCTAAGGCCGAGGTATTAATTCCCCTGCCTCGTCTAGGTTTAGTGGTAGGCCGTACGGGCTCGCCCAAGGGAGGCTGGGGTGGCCATACTTAGGCCATTTCTAGGGGGTACCTGGCGGTAGGTATAAAACGGCCCCCTAATTCAGGGTGTCATGCGTCCATTGCCCATTGGATGGTTTGAAATCAGGGGGATTTCCGACTGTATTCTAACGGCGCGTCCCGTAAACCTGTCCACCTCCGGGAGTAACGGTGTATATACCTCAGCACGGGGCTCTGCTGGGGCCGATCATTCTTTCCCCTTACCCATTTATTCGGCCGCCGGACGGCCTCGGCTCGGTAGGCGAACAAAGAGCCAGTTGAAAAATGAACGTAAACAAGATAGCCCCGGATGTCTGCACGGGTAAAAATGTCGCCGACGGACACGGCGTTAAAGTCTGTCTGCAAACGACGTCTTCGGCAGTCGCTGGATCGGTCCCGAAGGAGCCTAAACGGGATCTAAGCCTCACATTGTGAACTGGATATACACGGTTGTGCGTCCCATTATGTTCTACGGCATAACGGCTTGGTTGCCGGCCCAAGATAAATCTACAATAAGAAACAAATTAACAACGGTTTAAAGGGAGGCGTTCATGATGATCATGGCAGTGCTACCAGCCACGCCAATTAAAGCCATTGAGACCTTGCTTCACTTTCTACCTGTGGACCTATATGGTAAACTACAGACAAGCTGTAATGCTATTAGATTAAATAAATAAATAAATACACTGATCGCTCCCAGTTGGATATGAAGGTAGGAAGTATACTCGCAAGAACTCTCACTTAGCCTTAATTTTCGTCTGCCAGATGTATGTAGCGTTTTTCAGGCTTAAATAACAGCAATAAACGAAGCTACAAGTTGGCTGATCGATTCTCTAATTAGTCTGAATGCGGTAACAATCTTTTCTGACAGCCAAGCGGCTATTAAAGCACTAAAGCATCGAAGATTGTTATGGAATGTAGTCGTACTCTTAATGAACTGGCAAGATGTTATGGGAACCCACGCCACTAGAAAGGGTTTGCAGTCAAACGACTACTGCCGCAGCTGCCGTCATGAGGAGGAATTCGAAAGCGTGGACAACTACTTATGACACTGTCCTGCTCTGGCAAGAGCTCGTCGCTGCTCGTTCCTCCATCATTCTTTTGAATGTCTGGCCGAACTGGATTCAGCCAGTATCTATGACTTTGTGGTGCGCTTCATCCGAGCCACGAGGTACCCTTTCTAGGGTAAGAGGAGAGACATATGGAGTCTCTAATTTGGCATCACAACGGGCCCATGGTGGCCTAAGTGTGCCCTTTTCCTGAGGGATGAGGCAGCCGAGATAACCTAACCTACCCAACCTAGCCCTTGTACCTGAGCGGTTGAGTTGTGCGGATCTTGTTAACTTCCCCAACATCATTTGAAAGAAATCACACTATAGGGAGTCGCACTATTTGAAGCTTCGTTTGGTATGAAACGTCGCGACAAGGTCCTTCCCTACTCTGACGTTGCTGGAGGTATTGCTCAACGTCATTTTACACAGACACAGACACAGAATTTTTACAAAATTCAGTTGTCGGGGCATTATCACAATTTTCACTCACTGATAAGGCCCAATCAGGTGGAGGTGGGCTTCATTTTGCCACACAATACGCTCGAGAAGACCTGCTTAGAAGGCTAATCCGACAAAGTCGATCAGCCTTAATTCGTTATCGAAAGCTTCAATTTTTTTTTATAACTATTTAAATTTTGAAAATAAGATACCAGATTCATAATCAGTGTGCCGAAAACCCGTAGTAAAAAATTTTCAAAAAAGTAAATAAAACTAACTTTGTTTGATTAATTTTTTTGAAGTAAAGTATTATGCCTTTATTCCACTTTTTGGTTTGTTGTGAATAATTAATATTATTATTTGTTTATTATTAATTCTATTTTTTTAATGTTTTTCTCTTTAAATATATTATTTTTATTTTTTATTTTTATTTTATGCTGGCTTGATTTATTTTGACTACTATGAATACTACAATTGTAGGTAATTGAATTATATGCAAATTGAAACAAATAATTATGTCGATTACGATACACATTTTATAAGTTCTTATATTTTCTTTGCATGTGCCTATAAATTAATGTTTAACCTTGAAAGTTTCAATTCAAGATATATGTATGTATGTACATATGTAACTTGTATTGTTTTTGTTATTGTTTATTAGAAATTTGGTGATAGTTTGATAAAATTTTTTATGTATGTATTACCACCAATTTGTTATCCTCGCTATGAGTGTACTCGTAAAAATGCACGCAAATGTGCATCCCAACCCCCAACAAGTAAGTTGTTGCACAATTAATTATGTAGCTTAGAAATTCCTTACTCTGGCCTTAGCTTAGCTCATTTTTCATTCACTTTATTTATGTATAATTATGTAACAGAAAAAATAGCAAAATTTGTGTAAATCATAATTATTTAGCTTACCTACATAGATTTAATTCAACATTAGAATTAGTGAGAAACCAATTTTATACGAGTATGACAACCCAAAGGGCTAATTTATGATTATTTGGTAGGTATGGTATGTACATACGTATGTATGTATTTAATTAATTTACACTTAATAGGTTATTAATAAAGTAGTAATTAAATTTAACTACGACTTTGTTTTCGTTTTTTTACGATTTGTGAAAATGTAAGGCAATAAGGAGGAAATTAATACCAAGTGCCAATTTTTGCTGTTTTTAATTTTCATCTTTTTTTTTTGAAGCACTCAAGCTTGGCACAGATTTTCCAATCGACGAAATCGATCTGAAAAAAGAAAACGGCCAATGGAAACATGCTAGGCGCTGGCATTTTCAAATATTCCTCTCTGCAAACATTTTTGAAGAGGAATCCAACTTCCAACAAAAAAAGGGGAGGGGCCTTATAAAAACTGTACACTTAAAACCAATTGCTTTTCAAGCTTGGAGTTTTGTGTTATCCGGGCAGGCTCATTCATTTACTCAGAGAATATATTTTCTAAGTTTAAATTTGATTAAAGTTTTTTTTGCAAATTTTCGGTAAGCAATAAGCGAGTGTACAAAAAATATGTATATACATATATAGCGGTAAGAATGGCCCACTTACATATGCATGCAAGAATACACACAGACGCCGCACAGTGGGAAATATCGGAAACATTTCTTAATTTTTCTTTAAAAATCTTTAATTTCATGATCCTGATGTAGTATTTAATTCGTCACCTAAAATTCAAAATTCACTTTTTGATGGATTTCATCGAGTTACACCTCCCACATAATTTTATGAAAAAAAAAAAATAAAGAAAAATATTAGTCACGACTTTTTCAATTTCAGTTGCGATGTTGTTACGTTTTTTGGCATTTCAGGTGACGATATATAATTTTATATTTTTGTATCAGAAATTTACTCATCAGCCTCACCTCAAGAAAAATGATCTCTATTCAGAATAAAAGGGCAAAAAATTCAAAGCTGGGATTCATAAGGCTCCCTAATTTTAGAGTTTTTTTATCTTTGAATAGAGAGACTCGTCCCAGTAAATTGATGATAAAAATAATAAATTATTTCATCAGATTCATAAAATTAAAGATATTTAAAGAAAGATGAAAAAAATTACATTTATACGGTTATTCTAGCGCCGCACAATGTACGATTTGGGAGTGCTGATGGGCAAAATCGTAAATCTCTGGATAGCAATAAGATAAAAATATGGGTTCGAAAGCTGATATAATGGTGTACAAGCCATTATATAAAACCACATAAAAATTTGGCTGAAAAATCAACCTAAAAAAAAAAATCATACTTTGCTCGCTAGATTAAGAAGTTGAAAATTTATAAGCACTTTGCAATTTAAAAAAAAGAGCATTTAAAAATTTTTTAGTCAACTTCTGACCACAAATTTGAATTCTTCGGTTGAAAATTTACGAGAAAAGTGCATACAACCAAAACCCAATTTTTTTTTTGGGCTAGCCAGGCCTGCAAGTATTCATTTTTTTCGAAAGCTCATTTTTCATATAAATTTTTTGGGGGTTGAATATAATGATTATGTAATGGCACTATTTTTCCTGTCAAGAGATTTACGATTTTGTCCATCGACACTCCCAAATTGTACACTATGCGCCATGTCTGGAATTTTTTTTCGATATTACCCACTGTGCGAAGCTTAAGTTGTCGCTTAAAAATTTTTCACTCTCCTTCCGAAATCTTGCCTACGTATTAGATAACTCAAAATTTCCAATTTGTCGGAAATAATAAATATATAATAAGCGCGCTCTAATCGCATGATGAAAAGAGGGTTTACCGTGTTTTTTTTTTGCAATAAATTACTACAAAATGTTGACCCCAATATTTCTGTGAGGTGAATACATATTAAATATCAAAAACGTAAAATTTTTATTTACATACCTAATACCATGATACAAAAAAGAAGGTAGTTTCAATAAACAACTTTTGACGGATAATAAAATTTTTTGAAGTTTCATAATTTGTGAGTATTATCAACGGCCTTGCCACTTTGATAATATTAAAACAATAAATCGGAGT